AACCTGAAAATTCAGTTAGACAAATCAGAATTTTTACACAAAGAAGTAAAATTTTTAGGACACATTATTACCCCTAACGGAATAAAGCCAAATCCAGACAAAATAAAAACAATTGAGAATTTTCCTATTCCAAAAACTGTAAAACAAATAAAATCATTTCTCGGACTTTTAGGATATTACAGAAAATTCATTCAGAATTTTGCAAATTTAACTAAACCATTTACACAGTGTCTTAAAAAAGGAGCTAATATAAATATAAAAGACCCAATTTACATCAAGACCTTTGAAGATTGTAAAAAATTATTAAGCAATGAACCATTATTGCAATATCCAGATTTTAATCAAGAATTTATTCTTACAACGGATGCTAGCAATATAGCTATAGGAGCAATATTATCGCAAGGAAGAATCGGAAGTGATAAACCTATTGCCTATGCATCAAGGACGTTGAACAGCTCTGAACAGAACTACTCGACAATTGAAAAAGAGCTACTAGCTATAGTATGGGCTACAAAATACTTTAGACCCTATCTATACGGTAGAAAGTTCAAAATAGTTACTGATCATAAGCCTTTACAATGGCTAATGTCATTAAAAGAACCTCATTCTAGATTAGTAAGATGGCGTCTCAAACTGGAAGAATTCGATTATGAAGTAATTTACAAGAAAGGTAAATTAAATGTAAATGCAGATGCTCTATCTCGTATTGAAATATATCCAACAGAAACAAATGTAGCAACACCTCCTATACTAAGAGATATGGAAAGGTTCAACGAAAACCCTTCACTATATGAAGATCCACAACCATCAACGAGTAGACAAGCAGACAATGAATCTATCGTAGGACAAGTCGACCCTGAAGAACGTTCTGATTTAGACACAGTTCACACTAGCGCGGAAGACCCTATTTTGACAATAAATATTTCTGAGAAACCTTTAAATTATTTTCTATGTCAAGTAATTTTAACTGAAGTTGATGTAAACCCAAGAATTGAAATAAAGAAAATATTTGGTCCACCTATCAATAGAACTCGATGGCGTATATATTTTCTAAAAGAAACCTTTACACAACAATTAATAAGTTTTCTTAAAGAATATGCCGAACCAAAAAGACAGTATGTCTTTTACTTTGAAAACGATAATGATGATCAAAACTTTTATAAAGAAATGTGTAGAGTTCTTCCTCAGATATTTAAAAATTCTAGTTTTAGACTTTTAAAAACAAATAAAATTTTACAAGATATCACTCGTGAAAATTCACAACAAAGTTTGATAAAATTACAACACGAAGGCATAACAAACCATCGTGGGATAAAAGAAACTATCGACGAATTACGGATTAAATATTACTGGCCGAAATTAAGCGATGACGTCAGAAATTTTGTTAATAATTGTACTATTTGTCAACAAGTAAAATATGAACGACATCCACCCCTAATTAAATTACAATTAACACCAACACCTAAAAAACCATTTGAAACTATACACATTGACACATTTAAATTTGATAACACAATTGCTTTGACAATTTGTGACAGCTTCTCGAAATTCGGACAAGCTTATGTCATTCCTTCTTTATCAGCTCTACATGTATATCAATCTCTTTTACAATTTATTTCAACTTATAAAATCCCAGAGAATATAATCTCTGATAATGGTATTGAATTTTCTCAAAGTATTCTTAAAGATTTTGCTAAAGTTTATAAAATCAATTGGCATTACTGTTTGGCACAAAACCCGAACTCTAATGCAATTGTCGAAAGATTTCATTTAACACTTTTAGAACATATGAGAACTTTAAAGTTAACTAATCCAAGATTAAACCCCTTCGAAAAATTACATTATTCTATTATCGGTTATAACAATTCTATTCATTCTTCAACAAATAAAAAACCTGTTGATTTATTATTAGGACATTTAGAACTTCGAGAACCAATCGATATTAATAATGACGTGAGAACTGTTAATGAACAATTAGAAACGCATAAAGAAGTAATGAATGATTTATATAAGAATATAGCTGAAAAAATATCAACTGAAAAGAAAAAAATTATCGATAAAAGAAATGAGAAACGTGACCACCCTGTAGATATCGAACCTGGTACTATAGGATATCGTAAACAATCTGAAAGACAATCTAAAACAAATCCCCTGTATAAACCTGAACATATTTTACAAAGCAATGATTTGACAGTCACTACTACAGCTAAAAATAAATATCATAAACAATGTTTTAAAAAACCAAGAAAATTAACTGATAAATCATTGTTACAGATTGACGATTCTCTCACGAATCTTGATGGCACAGCAAATACAAGTACAGAACCTTGACTCAAATCCTGGCATACTTCCTTTTAAGTTAGGAGAGGTCAGTTTAAAAACTGCAACACATACATTTCTACACTATATTGATATGAATGAAATTAATAAGCAAGTTCTTGAAACGAATAAACACTATGACGATTTAAAATTATTAATTGATCAATTTTCAGACGACATAAATCGTATCACACTTCTAAATACTTGTAACAGTTTAAATTATGAGCTAAAGTTAGTAAATTATAAAATTCGTTCATTAATGCCAAATCTAAGAACTAAACGAGGTTTAATAAATCCTCTAGGCTCGTTAGTAAAATTTATTTCAGGAAATCTTGATCAACAGGATGCCGAAGAAATACATAATCACTTAAAAGAGTTAGAAAATAATGAAAATAAGATTATCAATAAATTTAATAATCATTTGTCTCTTTCTAAAATATCTATGCGTAATATGAATAAAACAATGACAGTTTTAATTGATAACCAAAACGCAATTAAATATAAAGTCGAAGAAATAAGAAATACTTTAAACGGTACTCTATTTCATTTTTATCATACATTGGAAATAAATAGTATATCTGGACAAATAAAGAATAACCTTGACATCTTAATGAACTTTCTTACAAATTTAGAAACTTCTATAAGTTTTTCTAATTTAAAGATTATGCATTCGAGTTTAATAACTCATGAAGAATTAAAAGAACTTTTATATAATATGTCAAATATTTATAATGAAGAACAATTACCTTTTAAAAATAAAGATTTCTTAGATTATTATAAAGTGGTAGAAACAAATACATTCTTTTACGAAAATAAAATAATATTTTCGCTAAATTTTCCATTGATACATCCACATCCTTTAGAATATTATCATTTATATTCTATTCCTAATGTTAATCAAACAATAATTATCCCACCTTCAAATTACCTTATCCTGGGAAAACATGAGTATCAATACGACACTGAAGAATGTATGAAGACCAGTACAAAGTATTTTTGCCAAAGAAGTCATCTCCTACCACTACCTCAAAGTGAAGATTGCGTTACGTCAATGCTATCCACTACGAAGAATACACAAACTTGTAATCAAATATCTATCAATATGAAGAATAACATCATAGAAGAAGTAGATCAAATGCATTATATTGCAGTATTTCCAAAAGAAGAAAAAATAACTACTATATGTGAAGAAAAACAAGTAATGGCCCTGAAAGGAACATATTTATTCACATTACCGAAAAATTGTGAATTTATAATGTCACAAGCGACTTATACTAATAAACAAGGAATTATTAGTACACACCCTGTATTGATTTCTGGAATACAGACATTGACAAATATAAATGTTATTCCAATCAAGAAATTAAATATTGAAAAAGTACCCTTGGATAAAATGCATTTAATTCAATTAGAAGAAGAAAACCCAATGGAAAACTTCTACATTCATTCCCATGCAGTGAATTGGACACTTTGGAGCATCTTCTTCATTCTAATTATTTTTGCAACTTCTTATTTCATTTTTAGAAAAAGAAAACTTCAACCGAAGCCCGTTCCCCATCCAAGGATGATTAACGAAACTCAAGTTAGTCCACCCTAGAATTTCTTCTTCGCAGGGAGGAGTTATGTATCCAGCCTTCATTGTTCAATAATGCTGATGCAAGATACCCTTTAATTATAAATAGCGAAGACAGGACTTCAAACAACGGATTGATCTATCGACAGCAGTGCAGAACGAATCTCTGCCCGTCACCATATCAATTTTTTCTATTGTTAATTAAATAAGTTAAAAGTAAAATATAAACTAATAAATCTTTGGTTTTCTGAGTTAGAATTATTTTTTAAAAATCAATTTTTAATATTGGAAAACATAAAGCAGTTTATAAAAAACTTAGTTTACGAATTAAATTTTATATAATTATATACAGCTTACTAAAAAAATCATGAAAATAGGGCTAAAAATAACAAAAATATAACACTTTAAATTTGACCAAAATTTTCTCCGTTGCGTTTTTTACATCTGAGTGTATTATATGATTAAACAAAGAACGGCGTCAGAATTAGTTTGTAAATGAAGATCTCTGTTATTTCACATGTAAATGTCAATAATCCTCATTTCTAAGCCAACTAAAGGACTTTTTTCGATCATACGACATATTCACTACGTATAAAGTAATTTTTAATTTTGTTGTTTATTCTACGTTTAACACGAATACATTTTTAATACATAAACGCGGATTTTTCGTTCAAAGTTATTTTCGTCAAACGTATTACAGATATTACACATTTTAACATGGCAACACTGTCGCTTTCAGTTCCACACCGTCTTCGATATGCCTTCGCTAGCCGAATTGGAGAAAATGAGTGTTTTATGCGTTGGCCGCAGAACGAATAGAGGCTCCACCGTACAACACTTGAGACGTAAGGGGAAATCAAATCAGCCTTGTCACGAATTTGCCCATTAGGTTGCATATCTTCCCAATTCTTTCAATCAACGGTATGATCTATTTAGCTAGTAACGTTAAATATTAACATGAACTTTATTGTTAACGCGATTGTAATTCACGAACCAGTAAGAACTTGATATTATTCTAGAACTAGTGAACATAACTTGTTCCCGAAAAAAATAAAATTTTAATTAAACAATAACTACCATAATTAAAACTATACAAATTATATTTTACCTGTTTGTCCGGTGGTATAAATTCTTTGTCCATTTAAATAAGCACCTTTGTCTTTAATAGCCGAGAATAGCTCGTCCATATGCGGGTTATAGACGATACCGAAAACTTGTTCTTTATTTATAGTCATCGCCACAGAAATACAAGACAACCTTAATTTTCTCATGAAGTTTTCTGTGCCATCTATCGGGTCTATTATCCAAGTTGGGTCGTTCGTCAAAGACCATTCGTTTTTAGCCGAAGACTCTTCTTCGCCTATAAATCTACGAACATCATTATATTGTGAATAAACGTATAGCCAATTATATATAATTATTTACTTATGATTTGGATAGCTTGCTGTGATTTGTTTCTTTAATTTGTCTTCTATCTTCGTATCAAATAGTGTAACAAAGTCACAGTCGAGACCATTTTTTAGTTCTCCCTTTATGTCTTTCGCATCTAAGAGTATCTGTGGAATAATGTAGGTCATAATCAGTTATTGAAATGAAACTTCTTTAAACGCGTTGGGAGTAAAAATTCAAGGCCGTGACACACGACGTTGAATGACGGCCGCGAGACGGCCATGACGCGCGAACTGACGAGGAGATAAGTGAAAGCAGCAATGTTGCCATAGCTACCCCATTCGGGGTAGATGTTCCCCTTTGTAAAACAATTTAACCCCGCTATCTCGTGATAATCTACCCCAATGATAAATAAGCTTGTGGCAACACTGGGTAACGATCTGTGCCATACACGGATAAGAAAATCACTATAATAAACTTGATAATTACCTAACCAATCTTGATTTCATGCATATTTTCGTCGATATGTTTGTACCTTTTGAATAAAGGTCTAGGTAAAGCATCTAGCTCATTTGCCAGCTCAGGATTAGAATAAAGTATAGTAACTCGTATTTTCATTGAAGGACACTGTCATATTTATTTCAAACCAATAATCCACGAGAATATTCGTATAATTTAATAAAATTACTGTGTATATAATAATAATAATGAATTGTTTATAATTGAGCTGTAATTTCGGTATTATTAATCCGGTAAATGATGGAGATAAACAATTGTGATTGATTAAAATTTTATTTTAAAATGAAACTCTTTTGTTAACAACATTTAGGGAATTCGAATCTTTATTCCAATAATGAATTGAATAATGACAAGTGACATCTGTCTAAAAAAGACAGCGATTTAGAGTGACAATTTGGTTATGTAAAATTTAGAGCGACAATTTTGATTATGCAAAAGAAATACATATTCTATGAGTTTACTGGTTTATCCCCAACTAAAATCCCCAATAGGAATAATGAACAAAACATTTAAACAAAAACAGACCAGAGACTATACAAAACAAATTGTTAGTTAGTAGCAGTTAGTAGTAGTCAGAGATATAGATGTAGTAGTATTTTGGTTTAATGGCCACATCTATCCGGCCGAATAATAGAAGAAGTATAATAGCCGGTTTTTTAATAAAAATTAAAAAATCATTATGAAATTATAAAGCTAGAATAGTTTAGAATTAATAGATTTTTTTTGAAATTTATAAAAAGCATTCATAAAAAATATACTCAGGGCTGGCAAAGGTTAGTCTTGGGTCGAGATTTCCGTATGTAAGAAGAGTACAATGCGTTTATAATGTACTGAACAAAGAGAGGACAGTAAACACGTTGCCAGACATATGAAATAAACCGAGAAACTGTGCACATCCCTAAGAGACGTGGAAGGAGATATAGCAGATTTGTCGCAGTTGACCGGTCGACCCAATCAATACCTCTGTCAGTATTTAAAGTTCTGGGGAAAGGTGTACGTCATGCGTTCAGCTTCACGATTTAATTACGTTTCGTGATACTTAATTTGTTCATTTATTAACGAATCGTTGTAATTTTCCCTATAGCTTGAATCTTTTTAAGTGCAAGCTAGATTTTGGTAAATAAATGGCACTTGCATTTTTGGTAAAAATAAGTGGAACTGAGTGGGTGTTCGATAGTGGTCGCGCTATTAGAACTGTGAATTCAAAAATCGATATCTCGAAATCTATTAGAAATAATAGATTGTAGTTTTTTCAAGAACTTTGTTAATATTTCTGCTGTATTTTCTTTGTGGACAGTATGTGAAAATCTTTATCAATAAAAAAAATTACACGATTGCTGAAAATTGCTATGCTATAAAAGTAAATGGATGGATTGTTTACAATTTTTAAATAGAAAAAAACAACCTTATCGAATTTTTCTTATGTAAACATATTGTAAAATATCCGATCTTGAAAATAAAAAAGTTTCAATATCTAAAGTGGTTCTTGAGTTATGGCCTGTTATGTGTTAAAAAGTTGAGTTTTTAAATTATCGCGATTACTGACGTTTTCTCGTTATAAAAAAAATGACACCCTAACGATAGCCTTATAATTCCATTTCAGAGGCTCAGAAACATGTCTAATGATTTTATCTAGATATCTATTGAAAAAAATTCTTTTAAAAATAAGCGGTTTGCGATCGTGATTTTACTTTACTTGATAGGAAAAGGTGTATCGGCAACGCCGCAACAGCACACCGTCGCGCGTCGCGTCGGGCGGTCGCATTTCTCTCACTCCGACTTAATAAGATCCCTATACGATTTACTTCCACACATGTTAATGCCGACCCAAAAGTAACAGTTGCCAGCACGGTATATCCTTCAAACCCTTCAATTTAATAGCTGTTAGTAAGAAGTTTTATTTCAGATATACGCATATAGTGTACAGGGTGGGTCAAATTCGACGCTTTTAAATATAACATCCTTTTCTATAGCAGATAGATATAAACTAATATCGGTGTCTGGAGCTCAATTTTCATCAAAAACATGATGGTGAAAACCGCACATCAATATCTGTTACCGTTTCGGAGATACGGGGTGTTTTTCAAAAATGTGCATTTTTTCAAAAATGTGCATTAATACAAAAAAAAATTGTATTTCTATGAAAACATTTCCAAAGCATCTTTTTACGTAGAATTTAATGGTTTAAGTATATTCTTTTAAAAATTAATTATTTATGAGTTATCAACAGAAAAAATGATTTTTTATTTGGGACACCCTCTATATTTTTAATTAACTGAAAGTAATTTAAAATTACCTTTCCAAAAATATAGCACATTTGATATTTTGTTATAATCCCCTTCGAAATACAGAATTTTTAAAAGTTCGCCACTTTTAACTAGTAGGCTTTGGACCTCCTATTGATGATATGCCCTTAATGGAATTCGAAAACATATTTTTCCAGCAAGACGACGCACCGCCTCCGAACGCTGAAGTTATAAGCAAATTTTTGCAGCCAAATTCAAGAATAATTGAATAGCTATCCAAGATCCCAGCCGTTGGCCGTCGAGGCCGCCTGACTTAGTGCCTATGGATCTAATCCTATGGATATATTTGCGGAAGAATAAAGGTTCCTTATTCTTCCGTATAATCTAGACAAGAATTAGAAATACTCAGCAGTTATGAGAGGGTATCTTTCACCCCTACTGAGTTAGTGAATTCCGCGAGAAATGTTCAAAAATCGCCCCGTCTGTCCATAACAGAAGACGGTCGATATGTCGAACACCTGTAGCAAAATTTCATGTCATGGTTTGCTATTTATTTTTATTGTTATTAGATATAGTTTAAATGTGTTGATGTTGGTTAAATATATTTGAAATTGTTATAAAATTCTGCATCTCTCATAGCAAATATTATTTTCGTTTTAATTGATGCTCACTGCGGCGAATTTTTATATACTCTATATCTCGAAGAGGAATCGAGCAAAATATCAAGTGTGTTATATTTTTAGAAAGGTAATTTTAAATTCTTTTCAATAAATTAAAAATATACAGGCTGTCCCATATAAAAAAATCAAATTTTCTGTTGATAATTCTTAAATTATTAATTTAAAAAAAATTATACTTAAACCATTAGATTCTACGTAAAAAGGTGCTTTGGAAACAAAACAGTGATTTGTTAAAAATGCATATTTTTGAAAAACACCCCGTAACTCCGAAACGGTAACAGATATCGATATGCGGTTTTCACCATCATATTTTTGACAAAAATTGAGCTCCAGACGCCGATATTAGTTTTTGTCTATCTCCTATAGAAAAGGGTGTTTCCATTTAAAAGCGTCGAATTTGACCCACCCTGTACAGGGTGTCCTTTTTAGTTGAAATCATACAGTATCTCTTTTATTCGCGAAGATAGATGGGTCCGGTTTGCACAAACCTTTGCCACTTTTTTGTGAAACGGAAGATGCCGTAAACAAAATTTTCATAGCCCTCTTCGTTTCTGAGTTACAGGGTCTTTTTGAAAATTTTGCAATTTGAGACACAGGGGATCTCTGTTCTTGTTAAAGGTATTGAGACGGTAAAAATTGATTATTGTAGAACTTTTTACGTAGAATACAGTGGTGTAGTCAGTAATTCTATGAAAAGAATATTTTTAAAGCTATGAACTAAAGTTATGTAATATTAAAAGATCATATTTATTAGTAGGTCATGATTGATAAATGATAAATAATAAAAGAAGCTAAAGAATTATTAAAAGTATACTGCTATCTGTCTCTTGTTTTATTTTGAGAGCCACTAATTAATTCTTTATATATTACGGAAACTTAAATCTCTACCGCTATTCGTAAATCTTGGAAGCTATCCTATCGGAACTTTTAAATATTCCTTTAGCTAATTTACGTGAAATATACTTTCAGCAAGATGAGGCTCCCCCTCACAGCTTAACCTAAAACGAAAATATTAGAATTTTGTTAAATTATTATGTCTCAAATCAGTGAATCGGAACCAATGTACCCATATGATGGCCTCCCTGATTCCCGGATTTGTCAGTTCTCGATTTCTGATTTTGCGATTTTTTGAAATATGAAACACTTATATCGTGGCAACTAATACGATGTCGAACACCTGGAAAATGCTTTAATAATGCAAGCTTTTAGATATTTGCAAACCCATCCCATTATTATAAATTGATTATAAATTCCGTTATAAAAAAGAGGAAAATATATTCAGAGGTTCAGTGGTAACATTTCAAAAGTAAAATATATCAATTCCAAATAACATTTTAATATGTGCATGTCTATTTTAGTAAATACCATTTTGATTTTGTTTTTTATCACGGCCTATTTATAAGAAAATTGTATGTTTTAAATATTGCAGTAAATAGTGAAAATAAATATAGAGTAATATATATATATATATATATATATATATATATATATATATATATATATATATATATATATATATATATATTTGAGAAGCGCATAGCAAGGCGGATCATATGATTTATAAATATACAAAGTGTTCCATTTGAAAAAACATAACTAGTTCATATTTTCAAAAATATTTTTTTCGTAGAAAAACAGACTTCGCCACTGTATTCTATGTAAAAAGTTCTACAAGAGTCAGTTTTCACCTTCTCGATATCATCCATAATAACGGAGATACGGGGGCTGTCCCAAATTGCAAAATTTTCGAAAAGACCCTGTAACTCAGAAACGAAGGGGGCTATGAAAATTTTATTGGCAGCATCTTGCGTTTGATAAAAAAGTAGCACAGGTTTGTGCAAACCGCACTCTTCTATCTTCACGAATAATGGAGATACCGTATGATTTCAACCAAAATGGGACACTGTACACACAATTTTTTTTTAATAAATCGTTATTTTACTCTAAGCTAAGACAAAGACTGAGACTAAGACTAGAGATGGTACATGTTTTTCGAAACAACCCTATAATGTAGAGTTAATAAATTAATATTATATCTGTTTACGTGTATATTTATTTTTAAATTAATTACTTAGTTGCATTGCTCACCTTTCCCGCGTCCAAAACTAACGGCAAAATAAAATCGTAGTACTCCTGAATATCCGTTTGGCTCATGACAAATCCGTAATCTTTATTTCACAATGGATTCTGTACAACTGAAACTTGAACGTGCACTTGTGTATTTCTATTGCCATGAACCACTTGATAATATATATTAAATGGCCATGGTTCTCTTTAGTCGCGGTATACAACTTTAAATTTTTATTTAATTATATTTTAATAACTAGTTTAATTTTATATAGCAATTTTATCGACCATATGGTTATGAATGATTTCATTCGACGTAATATGGAAGATATTTTATAAGTTGATACTATTATACTAATTTGTTAGAAAAAAATGTTTTAACAGATAAATATTGACTTATGTTTTTCTCAAAATTATATAAAAGCCCATAATCTGATATATTAAAATAGTGTCATAAAGTTTCAGACAATGTTCAAATAATATTTATAAATTATAATTCGTAAACTTTGGTTAAACCCAGGTTTTTAGTAAAACAATACAGGGTGTAAATTGGTGATAAGATTTTTTTTGAAAATTTTAATTTTTACATAAAGCCACTTGCTGGATCTATCTAATTTAAATTAAATTTAGTAATTTGTTTTGGTGCGCTCGTGCGTGTGTGATTTTTTTTCCATTTTCTTTATTAAAATTATCGAGTAGATCAATGAATCTTCGTTACTATTAATTGAAGAATATAAAAAGTTGCCTATATTATGGGATGTTAAACATTCTTTGTATTATTAAAAAATAAAAAAAAACGCATGGCAAGATCTTGTAAATAAAATTAATATTGAAATTGCTATTCTAAAATTTGTATCTTTTGTGTTATTAAATTTTGTAAGTATTCAAAATCGGGTCTGGTCATTCTTGTAAAGTTTTTGAATTGATCATAACCCTCCTCAGACACTAAGTTGTTGCAGTAAATTATATCGATTTATAAAAATTTGGGTTTGCCACCAGCGACGATGTTTTCGATTTTTCTCTTTTTTAATAATTAAGCTGTGACTAACAATGACTGCAGCCTTGACTATTTCCTAGTCGTCCATTATTTTCGCCAACACAACTCTGCTGGGCGCGCACAAATGGATCACTTCATTCGTCGGAAAATAAGTTTTTAAATTGAACGGAGCCGAGAGCGCGAACGAATACCGTGCGCGCACGCTCAGCTCGTGCGTGCTCAAGTCTAAACGCACCATAATAAAAATTTCAATACGTGTTGCCTAATGTGTACACCCATTCCCACGTCGCAACACGTGGGATAGCGTGGCATCACGTCGGGTGTTGGCTAATGGGGTCCCGGCTTAAATTTTCCCCATTTTATTTTACAGAAAAATGTATTTGAAATTTTTAAAGAACTTCTTAAAATGAAGCAAATTGTTTATTTTGAATGGTTTATACGAATTTGCTCTTGAGTTATAAGAGATACAAAAATACTAAATTGGGCGAAAATTAAAAATAATGCGATCCTGATCAAACAAACATAACAATCACAAGTTATATCACAATATGTCAAATATATTATGATTTTCTTCTACAGAGATCTGTCAAAAATATTCTCTCTGAAAAGTTACAAAAAGTACACTGTAAACATACGAGAATCTTTTAAAAGTTAAATATATTTCGTAAATAAGTAAAAACACACTGCTTCAAAAGAAAATTTATTTATTAATCACTAAACAAAAGCTATTTCTTAATAGATACTTAAAAAATGGATAAAATTCGGCCTATGTTCTTTACCCCGTCCAATAATTCTTGATGTTCGGAATATTATATTATGCTTCTTCAAATTCGCCAAGCAGTGGTACGATGTTTTTCGATTATTTCTCCAAGTATTCTGGTACTTACTTGGTTTCCATATTCCACTTGTAACAGAATATTTAATTCATTTTCACTTATTATTTCTTCATGATCCTTATCAATATTAATACTATTTTAATATCTAGTCTTTAATAATGTTCGCGTTGGAATTCTTCTCTTAGTCTTGAATAAGTACTGGTCTGGCATATTTGGAAAATGTACAAAAAATAAATCCTTTACAACCTGTAGACTTTTTCCTTCATACTACCACTAAATTATTTTTTTTCTTTAATTGTGTTATTTTGCAAGTCAATATGCATTAAACAAATTACAAACAATAAAGTCAATTTGGCATTAAAATATTGAATTTGAAGGTGGCCTTTTTTATTCTGATCAGGACCGTATTATGTTTTTGATTAATTTACTATGTTTGTATCTCTAATAGCTCAAGAACGAGTTCGTATTGATCATTCAAAATGAACAATTTGCTTCATTTTAAGGGGTATTTTAAAAAGTTTCAAATAATTTTTTCTGTAGAATAAAATGGGGCAACCTTATTATTTTTAAAATTTACATGAGATTTTCTATGTCCAGATTTCTATACCCTGTATCTCCGAAGAATTTTGAGACATACATTTATATGAACTTTTTTACGTATTTTTATCTGTAGAATATGCTAGCGAAGTTTTCCGAGTACAATTCGGACCACACTGTATATTTAAATAACAATGTATACAGTGTGTCAAAAAATAGTATAATATCTAACTTCGGTGGGTGATTCTACAGATATTTGTATATTAATATGTAAAAGAAAAAGTTTCTATAAACATTCGCCTTACAATGAAAAGGTAAATAAAAATAATATATTTTCTTTATTTTTAAGAATATTGGTAATCTTGACATTTGGTACACTTTTTTGTAAACAGCCGTGAGTACTTTTCATTAGGGTGGAGAGTACTACTGGTGGTGCTTCTTTTATCGTTATAGATACAGTAATAACACATGACATAAAAAAGGACTTTTTTACGTAAAAAGGTGGCTCTTTGTTTAGTTCGAAACGATGAACTGTTTTCAAGATATTTACGTTTAAAGATTACAATGTAAAGAAATTGTATTTAAATTAATCTTATGATTTAGCTAATACTGATATATTAGGGAATATGACCAAATGTACAGAACAATGTTCTCAGTCCTAAGAAAAAAATAATAAGTTAATATTATTTATTATAATTATACTTTTTTACATATTATAGGTAATGTTTGTTTCCAATGATGGTAAAATATTCCTTTCTGTTTCGATCTGCTCGTGCGCATTTGCAAATTTAAGTCATCGTATTGATGTTATTGTTTATATGTTGCTATTTTGTTTGGCGTAATCGTTCTTCATCGGCGACTCTTTCAATTTTCATATATTCATCTGAAAGCTCTTTTGTTGCTGCTGCCAGGTAGTTAGGATCCATTAAATCAAATTCTTTTCCTAAAATAAGCAAAAAAGAAATGTATCAGATATGTAAATGTGATATGTAACATATTTTTTACTTTATGGTGGAAATCGAAAACGTTCCGCAAGGCATAACGGCTAGGGTATTCTTTTTTTCAAAAAATTCAAAAACACGTCAATTTTGTTTGTGAGGGGGACAACTTTTGCCCCAAAAATGATTGCAAAATCTTCAACCCTCTGAGCGGGGGTGTCATCCCCTAACTTTTTTCAAATGGGAAGGGGGGTCAAGTGGCGCCGCAATGAAAACAGCTTTCTATTCTCTATATTTCCCCGACTCGTTTTTGAAAATCGGTCGAGTCATTGAGAAAATATGAAGGATTGAAATTTGAAAAGTTTATTTAAACATTTATCAGAGTAAATGATAAGGATAAATTCATTTGACCAATTTGAGTTTTTTTCTTATTATTTCTAGATCTTTGTGCATTTTTTCACTTGCCACAAGGTTGAATGATCAGGTGCCGTAGTTGCTAGATAGCTGTGACTTGTGCGTTGAAGTTCTTCTCAATATCGTTAAACTGACCCACAATAGAATTTCCAAAAATACCAGCCTACACGTTCAATTTCTGAGGGTTTTATGTGTGCACCTCGTGAAAAACCTTGGAGTTGTCCTCAGCCCAGTACCGACAGTTGTGTCGATTAACTACATCGTTCAAAAAGAAAGTACACTCATCCGAAAAACACACATTAAATAGGAAATTATTATCATTCGCCACTCGTTCACTCATAGTTTCACAAAATTGCAAGCGACGATCAAAATTGTTTTCGTTGAGTTCTTGTACCAACTGAATTTTATATGGGTGGAACTTGTTGTGTTTTTTAATATCCTTTGGACATTTGTACGCTTCACGCCGGTCTCATTGGCTAATTTTCTTGTACTCAGCGTACTATCCATGACAACTTGGCCCAATACGAATATCTCCATAGGTTCATTTACTACATGATTTTTCCTCTGCCTCTTTTTATTCATAACGGAACCAGTTTCGCGAAATTTTGCTACTAACTCGCGAATAATTTTGCCATAACGGTGTTTGTCAGGATGGCGTTCATTGAATATCTGCGCAACCCGATTGCCACATTCATTATTTTTAAAATAAAGTTCGATTATTTCCACTTTTTCTGCAAGTGAGTACACCATAATAATTGTTAAAAAGTTTAACGATATTGAAAAGAACTTCAACGCATAAGTCACAGAACAGCTATCTAGCAACTACCGCACCGAATCGTTCAACCTTGTGGCAAGTGAAAAAAGCGTAAACATCTAGAAATAATAAGAAAAAACAGCAAATTGGTCGAAAGAATTTATTCTTATCATTTATTTTATTTTTTATCCTTATCTTCTTTTATTTACTCTGATAAATGTTTAAATAAACTTTTCAAATTTCAATCCTTCATATTTTCTCAATGACTCGACCGATTTAGGCGGGGAAATATAGAGAATAGAAAGCCCTTTTTATTGCGGTACCACTTGACCCCCCTTTCCATTTGAAAAAAAATTGGGGATGACACCCCGGCTTAGAGGGTTGAAAATTTTGCAATCATTTTTGGGGCAAAAGTTGTCCCCTTCACAAACAAAATTGACGTGTTTTTGAATTTTCTGAAAAAAAATTCCCCTGGCCGTTATGCTTTGCGGAACGTTTTCGATGGGCCACCCTGTATACAGGGTGGCGCTTCTCATACGCCGCGGAGGCTCCAAGGAGAACGATAGTTTGTATTGAAATGAAATTTTGTGAGCATATGTAGGTTAATTCAGAGCAATTTTTAAAAATATAGAGAGTTCTACAGGGTGTCCCCAAAAAAAGTTACATATCAAAGTTGTGTTTTTTGTAATTGAACACCCTATATATTAATTGATTTTCGGATTCTGGGAGAAAAATAAAGGTGAGTTTTATAAGAGAAGTATATGACTAAAATGTAAGGTTTTTGACATATTTAACATTTTCTAGAAATAAAGAACAATTTTTAAATTATAATAAAAACTACTATGACTAAATTGGATTTTACCTGGTATAGCCTAATATGTAGTTAAATTAACTATTGTACTTTAAATCAAATTAAAACTTGATTCAAAAAGTTATACAGGGTGAGACAAAATTAATATTGAACATTGGCCACTTTAAAAGCATGTTACTCTCTTATTTTAAATGGTAAACCAGTATATCATTCCGATATTCAATGGGGAATTCATATCTTTTCAAAATACTATTAAGGTTGCCTACCCTTCAAACAAAGATTTTCCTAGATATTTTCATTTACATAATTTGATCATAGTAGATCTTTATTATTTGATAAAATCTAGGTGGCTGTGATATGTCTGACGTTACTTTAACATAGCTGTCTAATTAGTCTAACTTTAACAACTAGTTATCATTTTGTGTCAGTTAAAGCAAAAAAAAAATTCTAAGAAATTTGCCGAAAATGCAAACTTATCCTACGTCAGAAAGAATTATTATGATTTTATTAGTTGGTGAATGCAGTGTGCATTCACCAATTTATGGAATACTTAAATGCTCCTGATTTTATCTAGTGTGTTTTTTTTATGGGGATATGTTAAAGACAGTGTTTCGACCTCTTTAAAAAGCATATGTGGAGTTCTACCTTCGAAAACTCGACCAACTATTATCGACAACATGAGAGAAATTATTGTAGCTGCTTTTCGAGGTAGAACTCCACATATGCTTTTTAAAATGAAAAAATCCTTTTGAAAAGTCAATCATTTTATGCAGTTAACAGGAAAGGAAGCATTTTGGGCATTTGATTTCTTCTAGATAATTTTTGTCACATAATTATAAGTTTATTCTAGTTTTAATTCTGTACTAACTAAAATATGTTTTAAAGGTGTAGCTTTTTACTACCATTGAGTATTTTACTCTACAGTATCTAATTTTTGTTAAATTAACAAAAGGTATATCACACAGCCACCCTAGATTTTTTCAAATAATAAAGATCTACTAACGCAAAATCATAAAAATTAAAATATCTAGGAAATTATTTATCGTTATTTGGGTTAGGCAACCTTAATAATATTTTGAAGATATATAAATTCCCCATTGAACACCGGAAAAATATACTGGGTGCTCCATTTAAATTAAAGGAGTAACTTGCTTTTAAAAGTGACTAATGGTCCATATTAGTTTTGTTTCACCATGTATAACTTTTCGGGTCAAATTTCAGTTTGGTTTAACATACAATGGTTACTCTAATTAAATATCAGACTATACAAGCTCAACTAAAATTTAGGTAGCTTTTATCGAAATTTAAAATTTACTCTTCATTTTCACAAAATGTGAAATATGTCAAAATCCTTAGATTTTAGGGATATGCTTCTTTAATAAAACTCACCTTTATTTTTTTCTTAGAATCCGAAAATCAATTAATATATAGGGTGTTCCGTTAGAAAAAACACAACTTTGATGTGTAACTTTTTTTGGAATAGCCTGTATAATTCTATAGGTATATTTTTATATAATGCTTTCAGTTAACCTACATATGCTGCCAAAATTTCATTTCGATATAAACTACCGATCTCCTTGGAGCTTCCGCAGCGTATGAGAGGCGCCACCCTGTATAAAACGGCGTCCAGTTCGCTAGAAAATGAGGAACGATGACATTCCCCATATAATTTTACATATAAAATGACAGCGATCTTCATTTCATATCCATCCCTGACGTCGTTTTTTTTATCATATTGTATAATGAAAATATAATATACAGGGTGGTCTGAATTGTAATAGTTTTTGTTGGACAATTTGGTTGGGCAACTTGTTGCTAAGCATGTCTACAAGCGTATTGCTCTCTAGTGAGTAGCCCTATTAATATAGTATATTTAACACAACTTCGGTTGCACGTCATCAATGACACCATATGCATCGTCTTATGGAGTTTGCTGGTGGTCGTACTATGATGTGCAACCAAAGTTTTGTTAAATATACTATATATTACATTTATATTACAAATATATCATTTTTTTAAGTAAGATATACCTGATGAATCGGTGACATGACCTCCAGCTTCTCGAACAATTAATGTACCTGCAGCTGCATCCCATGGATAAAGTCCGTCACATTGGTAGGCGTCAGTTCTGCCACATGCGACATAACAAAGGCTTAAAACTGGACAACCCATGGATCTAAGTCTGTGGAGTGATTTTGTTTTCGATAATTCAAACGGTCCGATAAACTCATACGTGAATGTAATTACAAAGATAATAATGAAATAAACTTTATACCAAGGCCATACAATTTTAAAAGGAGTGACGTGAAGGGGATACCCACCAAGCACAAAACCTCACATTACATTTGCAACATTGCAGTCAATCCCCAAAAAGCTTGCTTTGTAATGTTGATTTCTAAACGTTGCGTCGTAATTGATGAGAGCTTGCTAAAGAAATATTGTTTTTGAAAGGTGATTAAAACATAACTGTGTTTTACTTCGTACAACCTTGCAAAATTAATTCGCATAAAATATTTCTGAAACAAGGTTTTTTTCTGCGACATTGCAACAAAGATTCAATTCAAATAAAAGATCCGCACAATTTTTATATACCGGGTGCCTCTCAAAAGTGGCTCACCCTTATAACTTTTTTATTTTTCAAATAAAAAAACGAGATTTGGTGTGTTAGTATATGACATAAATTAGGATCAATTGACATATTCAATTGTTTTCGGTGACTTCCTGTTTCACTGAAAACGACTACAACTTTTGATTTTTAAATGACACCCTCGGTAATTTTTTACTTTATTCGATAGAAAATGACACTCTGAATAGAATGACATATTATATGTCAACTTTTAACATTTTCGCATATGGTTTATTTGAAATTGTATCATGGCGTTCATAACGACAATTTGACTCAAAATACCCAGTGTATAGTACCAAATTATTTTTAAAAATATGCTTTTTCCAAATATGCTAATGAACCACTTTCGTTTCATTTGAAAAAATTCAGTTATGAATAAGAATACGATTTGGGCATCTTTTAACCGGCCGGGACAAGACATTAAAAACATTTGACAATCAAATCAAATCTCTTTTCAGGGCTCCTTGATTAATAATAATTAGCGTTTTTAACACAGCCATTGCACTCTAGATTGGAAATTTAAAATACAACTTTTTTATAAGCGAGAATGTCAAAAATTGACATATAATATGTCATTCTACGCAGAGTGTCATTTTCTATCGAATATTGTAAAAAAATACTCTTCCTCTCCAATATATCTACAATACGACAGGGTGCCATTTAAAAATCAAAAGTTGTAGTCATTTCCAGTGAAACAGGAAGTGCCAGAAAACAACTCAATACGTCCTAATTTATGTCGTATACTAACGTACCAAATCTGGTGAGCCACTTTCTGGAGTGAGCCACTTTTGAGACGCACCTGGTATAAGTTAGGTTAGGTTAACGTTAAATTTGATTTTAAATTCTGTGGTTGGTTAAAGTTTTTTTACGTGTTTGTTATCCCGTTGTACCCTATTCTAGTTGATCTAAAAGCCACACTTGATTGGGGATAATTGGGGATAGAAAAATGTCCAAAATTTTACTAAGAAACACTTCTTAACAACATTCTTCTTACAGTGCCATACTCTATACAGAGCGTGGGCTACCTCTCGCATGTACTTGTGATGTGTGTCATCACTTAAGAAAATAAACAATGAGAATTGAGACAAGATGGAAGTTTGACATTTCATATATTATTATATTCCTATGCAACGAGAGAAACAAATATAATTCTATAAATCCTTTGAGGAAGGAGCATATCAAAAATCTTAGGTCCACCGCGATGGGCCTCAAATATGGCCGACTTAAATTCCGGTTTATCAGTGCCATTCTAATTTTATTTCAAAAATGTAAAAATATGATGTAGGGTAGACGTGGGGTAGACTCAATATTTTTTTTTATTTTACGTTGTGAATAAATGTTGGTAGGTAGTTAATAAAATTGTTATAAAAATATAAAATTCTAATAAAAATAGATAAGTTATAATAATTATTTATAACCATAAACATCCGATACGCTACTGAAGCAGGTAAGTCAAATTGACGTATCTAAATTCTTTGACAAGTAGTAAATAAAAGTAAAAATGCAAGAAAAAATATATAATTAGTTAATTTAAGTGAATTTCATAAATGATCGGTTTACTACACGTATGTATATTATATTGTCACTTACTAGCGAAAAGTTGTTCCATTATTTCACTCGATTTTTGCCGAGATCTACCGCACGCTACACAACCAACTATTTTAGAGTCTTTTTCGATAAATCGCGATAGTGTCACTGTTAATTTAAGTTCTGCCACAATTTCCATTTAGATTTACTACCGTTATACAACTATCAGTAGTAGAATAAATAATAAATAACATAAAATAAGCTCCTTAAAGACTGACAAATCCACAAAATTTCAAATCAAATTCAAATGTGTCAAATGAATCGTCAAACAGAACTGTCAATGATCCCCACCCTAGAGTCCTTTTTCCGCCCACCATGCATGAATACATGGATAGCATTATGCTCCTTCCTTAGTCTTCTTATTCAGAGTATAAATCTAAAAATTTGTGACGCTGGCATGTCTTGGACTTTTCGGTAAAATAATCGGTAAACAAAAAAAATGGCAAAACACACGAAAATGTGACACCCTGACATATATCTTATAGCTTACCCCTGAACAACCTTTATTAAGCGTTTCAGCCTGAATAGATATTGATTATACGAGTACTCATTCCTTCTAGCAATGGATATTTCGTAGTTCATTACCGATGTTGATATGTCTGAAATTAATTTGCTTTATTTTTATTTACAAAAAAAAGTATATTTTACTTGCCTTTACATCCACTAGTGAATATTCGTTTGCCATTTAAATATGCCCCATTGCCTTTTAATGCAGTAAATAGTTCATTCATAAAAGGATTGTATACAATGCCTAAGACTTGTTCTTTATTCACTATTAAACCCACCGAGATAGCTGTTATTGGTAGATTTCTGGTAAAATTTGCTGTACCGTCAATTGGGTCTATAATCCAAGTAGGATCGTCTGTCAGGATTGGTTTTATTTTTCCTATTTCTGTCTCTTCCTCTCCAATATGTCTACAATACGATTGAGTTTGAAATGCTGTGATGTTGTAGAATGTAGAATGAGGGGTGGGGAAATCTATTGTGTCCCCCTTTCTTGAGTTATAACTCTATAACTTATCACACATGGTGACTTTCCTGTTGTAGAGAAGATTTTTTCCCATTCTCCTCTGGCAACAGGTGTTCTTCCTCCGAGGAGTTGACATCTACCGCCTATGAGGTTATACACTATTCCACGATTTGGGTTTGGCTTCGTGCCCTTTACATTCGAAGAGCTTGTCTCCGGCTGAGGTAGAGACTGAAGGATCTGTCTCCATTTTCGCCACATCTTTAACTTGGTCTCTCTTTAGACCTGATACCGGTGTTGTCTTGAATCTATAATAGAGGATACATCTCTCTTTCTCTATTGCCTCCTAGGATTTGAGGTCAGTTCCTATTGTGAGACCTGACCGTGGCCCTCCTTCCGTGGGTTGATGACTCGCCAACTCGATGTCCTTACATTGAAGTTCTTGCAAAGCTGGTAATACGTCCCTGCTTGCCTCCCAGTGATGGGCAGGTTTCCATCCTGGCTTTTTCTCTCCTTGTCGGAGCAGAGGTGAGAGGTTTTTGCTCTCTCTTGCCCTTTAGTGGAAATGCGCCAGGCTGTTTCTTGGTTCCTTTACTCTCCCCTTTTTCGAGTAGTGTTTTCGCTTTTGTTTCCTTTGGCGAAAATCCTTCGTGGAACAGTCAGAGGTATCTCCGTACTTGTCCGCTAAGACCTACTCTCAGCGGATCGTCTAGCCCGCCTGGTTTACCCATGATACAATTAAATTGTTTATTGCATCATGTGGTTGACCCAAGCCGAATAGACGAAACGGTAGCTTGTGTCGCTTGCTGCGTCTTTTTTTTCTGGGAATGGTAAAAAAAAAATCTTAGACGCCTGGTCTGTTGTTCTAGCGACCGAGGTGTGCCGGATTCCTACCGACTAAAAAAAATCCACCCTATTTGCTTGACAAACTGCGCTGGAACTGCTCACGCATTACTTCGGCGCAGATGCCCCTCTCTACGTTAGACTTTGGTAATTCTTCAACCCTCCGTCGATCCAGCTCTTTCTGTCGTAGAATTTTTGATATAAACGCCACGAAAGCCTCCCATATATCTTCGTCCTCCACAATAGAGTGTATTAGGTTTTCTTTTTTAAAGGGTACCTTAAAAATCCCTTTGATCTTTATCTACCTGGTTCCCAGGCCGAGCATACAAAAATGGTGTGACTGACATCGTCGATGGCACTGCTGCAATATTTACAGGCCGCACTAGCTCTTTTCTTGAAACGATATAAATAGTGTTCGAAAGCTCCGTGACCGCTAAGTATCTGGGAAAGATAATAGTCTACCTGTCTGTGCTTTCGTTCAGTCCATCTTCTTATACTTGGAATTAACCGGGATTAACATATGTATCCATTTTTCACCGTACGCCTCATCCCATCTTCGTTGCCCACTGTTGATATATCTCCTTCGCTTCATTTTTGATATCAGCCTTATCTGTTCTTCCTCTAGTTTTCTGATCATATACAAGGTGGTCCGAATTGTATTCCGGAAACTTCGACAGCATTTCTGCAGATAATCATCCTGTTATAAGTAAAAAAGTTCGTATAAATGTTCCACATCCTAAAATGCTTAGTTTCGGAGATACAGGGTGTAGAAGTTTCATTTTTATTTCGATTTTTTCCAAATAATTTTTGAAGTAACGCAAATATTTGGATGAAAATTGGGGACTAGAAGTTTTTTAACAGGACAAATTTGATTTTGATATCAATATGACACCTATTGGTAGGGGGCGCCACCTACATGTGTTCTAACCGTTTTGAAGAGTAATAACTTTTCGTCCGTACCTGTATAAAACTACTGAGTGAAAAATATACATTTCCGTGATTTTCTACGTAAAAAATGTCTCTTGCTAAAAATCGCCGCGAGCAACCGTTCTCAAGATATTTAGAATGGAAATAGTCAATACATGTCATTATTGGCAAAAAATAAAAGTGTTGGGTAGATAAGTTATTTGACTGAAATGATAAATTTGGGAACTTTTTTTTTTTAAATAATCATAAATTTTTCTTCGAAAAAATGATGATAAGACAGTTTCTGTTAAACTTTTAGCACAAAAACATTTCAAATTTATGATTTCAGTCTAATAACTATTTAGTCAAGGTGTTTAATTTATGTCATTGATGACAGGTATTGATAATTTCGATTCAAAATATCTCGAGAACCATTACTCGTAGCGATTTTTACCAAGAGATTTTTTTTACGTAAAAAACGTCGTAAATGTATATTTTTTTACTCAGTACTTTTATACAGGTATGGACGATAAATTATTACTCTTCAAACCAATTAAAAAATATGTAGGTGGCGTCCTCTATAAGTAGGAGTCATATTGACATCAAAATCAAATTTCTCATGTCAAAAAACTCTTAGACACCAATTTCCATCCAAATATTGACGTTTCCATCCAAAAATATTTGGTAAAAATCGAAATAAAAATGAAACTTCTACACCCTGTATCTCCGAAACTAAGCATTTTCGGACATACATTTTTTACTTATATTAGAGCTTATATTATTATTTTACTTATATTGGAGCGGCGTACAAAATACTGGCGTGGACCACTTCATTTTAAAGTATCCTTTTCTCCTGCCTTGGACCTCCGATGTTTGGCATTACTCTTGCTAATTTAGCCACTGTTGTCTGAGCCTTTACCACTACTGCATGTATGTGTTCTTCGAAATTTAGCTTTTTGTCAATTTGCACTCCCAGATACCTCAGGCTTTTGGACCTGAGGCTTTTGGATCTGAGGTAGCTTGCTGCGTCTAGAGGTAGGCTCCCGACCCTTACTGACTTATTGTGTGCCACTAGTGGGGGCTGGTCTCGGGCAAGTGTCAGCCGGCTCTACTGTAGTTCTCTTTGGGATTGATCCCTGGGAACTTGCACTGTCTTAAACAATTCTCAGTGTTGTTACCCTTCAGCTTCACCGCAAGGGCAGTCCACTTCTACAGTGCCCCGCATTTAGAAGGGAGGCGAGAATACAATGGAGTGTCCTCTGGTGCCCCAAGGTTTTGAACCTGTAGAGTCTTCTATCCAGCCACGCGTCCCTTTGATCTGGTCCTGCTATCGTAGGATTTAGGTTTTTGGTGAGGTCGTCTCCTCTTGGTCCGGGCGGTTAAGCCAAGACCCCCTACACGCTCTGCCCGTGAAACATGACCCTAGACAGTAAAGGGTGCCTGGTATGACGGAGAGGGTAGTCCCATCCAGCATCGTTATACGTCTTTATGCAATTCTCTGGCTACGACACTACAGCCAGAAACAAGACAGTCAGTTGCTCTTTAGACCCAGCCAAAGTACTAGATAGGATTCCCCCTAGCATCTGATTAGGAACACCCTCACCAACTACAAGATCTCGCGTTTCCTAGAGGAAGATTCTTTGATGTTACTCCAGAAAATTACTCATAACTACAAAATAGACCAAAACTCTTTAATTTTAAACTAGATTTTAACAAAGCTAAACCAAATTAAAGAATCTGCTGGACAAATAATATAGCGAATAAAGTTAAACATTTTTCGCTTTTATTCTTTCGGCCATAAATGCTATTAAGGTAATAAAAAAATTTACCAACATTTTGTTGTTGACTAAGGACAGTGTGATATTACCTGTGATCCGGATATTTCTGCTTGATTTTATCAATGAGAATTTCCTCGACTTTCTTATCATATATCGTCACTAAATCCCATACATGAGAATCTTTAAATTGTACATCAATTTCATCGGCTTTAATCAGAATCTTTAAATAAATTAAAATTATATTAACACCGATTTTGAAAAACATTTAAAACTCACCTTCCCAGCTTCTAAAATTAGTGGTAAGATATAATCAAAATATTCCTGCACCTTAGACATTTTTTTTATTTGTTTATTAATATTTTAGATGCTTGTCTTCAATGCATATGCACAAATTTGCCCATGTATTGCAATTTTATCTGTATTATTCTATTGAAAACGACCTTGTTTCTTTAATATTTTATTTGTTTATGACTCTACCTAAATATTTTTTTTAATTATATGTTTTATCTTATTGTAGGTATGTAAATATTTTCCTAACATACTTTGCTTAACTGTATATAAAAAATATATTGTCTGGAACGACGCCGACGTAGCTTACTTTAATATGTATGTACACGTCTGGATTAGAAACAACCACATATATAATGTGGTCCTTTATACGATAAAGTGTCCCTTTGTTTTTATCTATCAGTAATATGAATATAAAGGATGGTTGCATATTAGAAGAATAATAAAAGAATATTCATACACCAAGGTAGCAAAGGCAGATTAAAGAAATCGTTTAAGAAAATACTGGAGTTTTGGAAATATTCCTAAGTTCTATAAACTTGGACTGATGTGTATCAAAAGTTTACGATTCTACGATTGTGAGGGTGAGGTAAAGAAGGGGAATATATCACACGGCCGGATAGCCCTGGCAGCTGTGGCAAAAATGTTACATCTATATCTCTGATTACTACTAACCAACAATTTGTTTTGTGTGGTCTGTGGTAGAGGTGTGTGGTATGTGTTAGAGGTGTTTAGTCCGTGAACGAATTAGTTCCAATGAATTATTTACTTGTGTCTAGCCCTAGCAGGCAACTATTAAGCCCGACCAATCACGTTAGAGTTTTTGACAAACACAAATGAATTAACACACTCCACATAACCACGCTAACCAACCTGATTGGTCAAGCTTAATAGTTGACTGCTAGGGCTAGACACTTCTAATTATTCCGACACCGGAATGAACGGCACTAGTTCCTGGTTTCTCAAATTAAAAAAAAAATCTTTTTTAACTTTTTTATCTGCAATAAAACTTACCTATATGGTTTTAACATACACAATTACACGTCTCGTTATATTTCCCCTCGTACATTATAAAAATTACACAGATCATGCTGTGAATAGTTCTGACTGACAACGAAACCCATTAACAAGCAATGGGGATGTCAATGTTAGTCGGGAACCATTGTAAACTAAAGACCTAGTTGAAGGAACTATTCCTTTGTAGGAACTAGAACTAAGGAACTACTTCCTCCCAAGGAACTAGAATTCCCACCTCTAGTCTGTGGTCTGTTCTTATTTAAATGTTTTGTTTATTATTCATTATTTATAGTTGTTTACAGTAATTTTGTTGAATTATACGAAGATTCTCATTGATTATTGGTTTAAAATAAATATAACAGTGTCTCAAAGCAGTGTCTTCCAATGAAAATACGAGTTACTAACTCTAAATTCTAAAAATCAGTTGTTTATTGATCAAAGTGATAAAATAGCTTTCGAAAAGTGAATCAGGGAACACGGGGTTTCTTAAATATTTTAGAAAAAGACAAAAGGAGTTTTGAAGTTTTTCTTGTATTTTATACATTGTGTCAAATTTATTTATTTAATATTGTAACAATAGCAAATAACGATCTAAGGACTAAAGGGCTTATTTAGTTTGGAAAATGTAAGTTGTTCTTCATCAGCTATCCTTTCTATTTTTAGATATTCATCCGATAGTTCTTTGGTTGCCGTCGCCAAAAAGTTGGGATCCATTAAATCGAAATCTTTTCCTAAAATTAAAACAATAATTACAATAATTATTCAGCCTGTAATAAAAAACGTAATTTTATTTAAATGCAACACAAATAAAATAATAAAAGCCAATGCCGATACAGTGACTTACGGTTATCTCTATGATAGTAATTTATTTATTGATTTCCCAAAACCCAACCCTCGACCCAACCCAATTTATATTTATTGATTTCCTAAACCCAAAAAAAGTTTTTTATTTTTCGATCGTAGCGTATTGTCAAGGTCAAGGTGTATGTAGCGCTAAAATGTATTACTGGTTGCCTACACAACAGCAACGTGTCAAGAAAAATGGCGCATCCGCCAGAAAGCAAAAGACATTTTTAGGCGCCATCACTTAGTCAAGTCGACAAGTAAGCGAATCAGACAATGGAATTGTCCAGTATGAAGTAGAACTCTCTCCGAGAATTCTAGAAGTTTCGAGAAGCAGTCAATAGAGTATATAAGCCGGCGTAACCGGCAGTTGGTACAGTTTTGAAGTTCGAATATACCGCGCTTTAAATTATTACGAATCGGACAATTTGGTGAAGGAATTAAAAAGTTAGTTATTGTGTGTATAAAGTGAGATAATAAATTCGTTAAGTATTTTATCGTGAGTTTAAATTAGTGGACCCACGGAGTCCGTAACAGTATTGATATTTTTAATTATTTGATACTTTTACATTTTACCAGATGACCAACTTATTATATTGGACGTCATTCAGTCTCTTGTTTCTAATTTTTTAGTCAGAATATTCTTTTTCGTCCTGGGTGTCTCTTAAGCTTGATTTTCATGCATCCGTTGTCCGACGATACGATGATGCGATATTAATTTTATTGGTTGAATTTAAAGACTTCGATTGGTTAGAAAATTACGCAGTTTTTAAATTTATTGCATTTTCATGCCTCCGTTCATCGGATATACGATTTGCTTGTGATTGGTTTCATTTTATATTTCCATTTCCATAACGATTTCGCTTTTTTGCTTATAGCCTAAGCGCTAGTAGCAACGTTGCGTTCACTACTGCGCATCATGTCTGTATTCAACATCTGTTCGCTACTGCGCATTACAAATTTGCCCTGTATTTCAGGAACTAAGAAGGCTAGGATAAACCTATGTGTAGCATATTTAGTTTGATAAAAAAGTAGCAAAGTAATGTGAAAATCGCATCATTGTGTCTCTACTCATAAACGAAAAATCCCATAAAGCACACAAAAATGCAATACCCTGTACCGATGTGATGCACAGTAGTGAACCACAGTAGTCTACCGGCATCGGCAGCCACACGGCCCGCACTTTGGTCAGGAGATCATCGCGAAAGATATATCAAAGAACCGGCTTTCTTAAAATTCTCGGTTTCCTGACGTTGCTAGCTCTTGTCTATTTTTATAAAGGTTAGATTAAATTTCTCAAAAAAGTGTCAAAACGTCCGTTATCGTACGATCTTTCTTCGTTGACGGACCGGAATAAAAAATTTACGGAATCCATTAGAAAAGTAGCGCGAAAACGCTAAGACCAATCAGAGCGCCGGCGCCGTCGCGTCGGACCATCGTATAAGCGGATAACGGGTGCATGAAAATCAAGCTTTACTCGCGATCTGACCCTTAACGATTGATCATGACACATGATATTTACTACTACGCATCGCATTACAGCTGCTTACAATGTGCTATAACACTGTTATATCTCGAATATTGAAAGAAATAACCATTATAGTTTACCTGAAGAATCTATAACATATCCTCCAGCTTCTCTGACAATTAAAGTTCCTGCAGCAGCATCCCACGGATACAAGCCGTCACATTGATAAGCATCTGTTCTTGCACAAGCTACATAACAAAGCCCTAGAACTCCACAGCCCATGGATCTAACTCTAAAATGATTAACACAATATAATCTAATTTTTGTGAAATTATTACGAAGTTCTGGCAATCGATTAAAGGTCATTTTTAAGAGAAGTCATAGATAAAGGAAATCAATTTAGATTTGAATGCCTGTCAAAATTTTGGGTCGCAAAATTGTTCTGGATCGCGACCGCTGTACGCGATCTGGCGCTGCTATAGCGGTTGCTAAGAACAACCGCAAACAAAAACAGAAATAATTTTCTCTCGTCCATATCTCTTGTCAAAGTTAGAATCATTGCCTGGAAACTTACATATATCACCTTATATGGTGAAATTTTGATAAAATAATTTAGTACTCACTAAAATCACGGTATGTCGCTAGTGGTAGGAAAAATGTTTTTTAGAGGTTACTAGTTTATTTGGTTGCCTGTGATATGCATATACAGGGTGTTTCCTAATTAATCTAAAAAATAAAAAATCGTTAGAAATCGGCTTAAGGCGGGCTTTTAATAAGTATATTTATTTTTTTTCTCGGCAACCGTTTGATGAACAAGAAAAACTCAAAAGATCAATTTTGTTGAAAAGGGATGGCTAGTCAAGAAAAAAATATATTTTCTTTAAAAAAGCAGTAGCGTACCATTTATTTTAAGCAAAATATCGTTTTTTTTTTTAATTTTTAACACCTTGTAGATCAGAAAGGAAGTACTTTAGACCCAATGGTTATATAAAATTGTTTTAAGAACACATGAGGAATCACACCACAATTTTTTAAACTTGACAATGATTGTTGATAAATCAAAAAATACCTTTTCTGTAAAAAAAGCCCGATTTTCGCAGGAAAAATTTTGATTTTTATTGAATTTGGGCCTGCGTCTGCAAATACCGGTATGTTTTTTAATATTCTATCTATCTAAATTTTAAATATCATAGTCAGAAATAGTTTTATTATTTATTAACTGTAAAAATGGTATACTTATAAGTTTTATCAAATATTGTGATTTACTTTCTACCTTGTAGTCAAAATTTATATTTAATAAACTGTAAAATATATATATATATATTCTTATGTTTTATTAAAGTTACTCTGATATACTACTATATCAGTGTAACTTTAAAACTAAATCCTTTGAAATCAAATATAAACATAAAAAATATTTACAGCAGAAAAGGCGAAAGCGCTGGGTTAAACGTAGTCTCTACTAAGAACACGGAGGGGCGCTTTGACCCAGAATTTTACTATTAAGTTTCATATCTATTTTAATAGAGGATTATTTCCTTATATCTATGGTTAGAATCTTCAAAAAATCTTTCAAAATCTAAACCGCTCTCATTGAAAAAATTTCGAAAAGTGTTTAAAGCGTCTGTTTTCAAAGTAATTATTGCTATCTTGTTAGTTCAAAGTTTAATTTAAGTTTTATTTACTCAAACCCGTGATAATTATGAAAAAGTGGCACTAAAAACTTAAAAAGCTGTGCTGTGAACTGTGAACTGCAAAAACCATCGTGGATCGTGGCATAACGTCGGTTTCCAATGTTTCATAGGTATTTCATAAATGTCCTTATATAAAATAAAGTTTCTTGTATGCAACACACTGTATTTTATTTACGAAATTAAAAGAAAATAATAATACATTTGAATAAATAATATTTGGCGATATAATTCCGGAAAAAGCTGAACCGCTCCGAAATTATCAAAAGCTTTGGGTCGCGACCGTTGTAAGAACAGCACCAAATAGTATTTACATTGTTCGTATGGGCACTTTCCAATCTAAACTTATTTCATTTATCTAATGAGAGAAGTTTGATAATTTGTCATTTCCCGTTGTAAACTCAAAATTTAATAAAAAATGGCACCTACAATTAAAAGTAAAGTATTTTAATAAACAATAGGTACTTGGAAAACTAAATTTTTCGCATTTATTTTTATACTCACCCTTGAATGATTTTTATTAAATGTTTAAATCGAAACATATACATATTATAATAATAATCATTTCTCCTGGCTATAGTGATCTCGTAATTCAGTACAGATTTTCTTATATCTACAACACAGAAGTAAATAACTAGTAATGGTATGTATAAATAAAAAATACAATGAAAATATAATGTGATCAAATGAATTTCTAACAGTCTTTCATATTCGATTAATTGAAGCTATTGTCCAATATTTACGATTTGCATTATAGAAAATGGTCAAGTTTTTATTATAGTCTAATTACAGCTAATTAATTACATAGTTGAATGTTCAGCTGAAAGTTGTTTGGTTTGGAAAAAAATCATTTATCATATCTTCGAATTCGTTACAGCAAACATAATTTAAGTTGATACTACTAAAATAATAAATAAAAAGCCGATTTCACAGCAGGTGCCTAATTTATACCTGATAATTTTTAATATTTCACTTCTCTTCACTTCAATTTTACCAGCACACCTTGTTTTTTTTAGAACCTCTTTTAGTGCGAAATGTAAAATATAGCTTAACAGCCGTAAAAAACTCATCACAACTTTATTAGAATATTTTGAACGGTAAAGCGGTAGTAATGGCCGTTTATGTCCCTTAAGTGCTGTAAGAAGGTGAGTTTTGTTGATGTAAATAATAACTGTTTATATATTTATAATTAATTTATTTTTGTTTCCTAAATTATTTTGATTAAAAGAATATATGAAAAAGTAGGCAACGCTGTGCCGGTCAAGCTTAATCACGTGACTAAAAGTTTATTTTCTATGAACTATATTTATGATCGACGCAAGTTTTTAAGATTTCGTGAATACCTTACTAAAATAAAATTACTCTTTCAGCTTGGGTGAGTTATACATTGATCTGATCATGCGGTAGTTTTTTTTTTCATAAACACTGACCTTTGCAACCACTGGTGCGTATTCTCTTTCCATTCAAGTACGCTCCTTCACCTTTAATAGCGGTAAACAGTTCATCCATGAACGGGTTATAAACAATCCCTAGTAGTTGTTCTTTGTCTATCGTAAGACCCACAGAAATGCAAGATATCGGCATGTTTCTGACGAAGTTGGCTGTACCGTCGATGGGATCTATAATCCATGTTGGTGCGTCTGTTAATATTGGCTTTTCTTTGGACTTGTCTGTTTCTTCTTCGCCAATAAATCTACATTTATAAATAACAATATAATAGTTATTTATGGTACTAGTGTGTTATGTTACATATACTCGTAAGTCATGCTGGGAAATGTTTAGCCCTCGAGGCTGTAGGCCGAGAGGGCTAATTTTCTCAAGTGACTTATATGTTATAACACGCGATTGCCATACTAAATTTTATCCAACAGCAGAACTGTTTCATGTCCAATCTCTAAAGTAATATTTGATTTAAAAGGATAATAATATTTGATTTAAAAGGAATAATTGATTTAAAAGGATCTACCAGTTATACTTTCATTGTTGCGAATTAATAAATTATCAGGATGCGTTTGTGTTATACTATACTATATGTTTTTTGTAAATAATAAATAGTACTGACATTAGGACGTCATTTAGATAAATCGCGATTTTTTAACGATAAAATAGTGAATTATCAACAAGCAAGTCAGATTTTAAAGAAAAATGATTCAGGAAGATCTTCCGCAAGCAATTATTAACCAGGCAGAGGCGGCTACAGCACAAATACTGCCAGAAAAGTCTCGTGGCGTATATGATAGGGAATTCAAGGCGTTTGACAAACTAGCGTGTTATAAATTCAAAAACTCACGCGTGTGTTGTTTATTTTATATGCTTGTTGTTATTGTTTATTTTATATGCATGTATACATGTGAGTATGTGAGTAATGTCTGTATAAGTAAGGACTGTTGGATAAAGTAATTTAAAATAGAAAACATGAACAGTATCCGGAAAATTGGCCGAAAGAAAATTGACCGAAAGCAAATCACCAACGACATTTGCTCTAATGGAAAGTTGCCCGAAAAGAAAATTTGCTTTTTAAAGGACATTTTACCGAACAAGAAAGTTGACCGCAAAATGCAATATTGTCAGGCCATTGTCATTACCATTTGTAGGGTTCCGTACCCAAAGAGCAAAAACGGGAATCCTATTACTAAGACTTCCCTGTCCGTCCGCCCGCCCGTCTGTCACAAAGGTCTATCACACAGACAGTTGAAATTTTCACAGATAATGTATCTATGTTGCCGCTATAACAACAAATACTAAAAACAGAATTAAATAAATGTTTATAAATAAAAAAGTACTTTCACTAAACATTATCTTTAAGTAAGAATTTTACATAGAATCTTTCAAGTCCTCGGTGGCCGCGTGGTTAAAGCGTTAGGATTTTACGCTGCTATGACGTTGGAGCCGTAGTAAGGCAGGTTCGAATCCTAGTCAAGGCGACTTTTTTTTAATTTTTTATATTTTTATATATTTATTTTTACTTTTTACATATTTATTATTGATTAATACAATTTTTATTAATGTGTTTCTTCATTTTTTTTAAATTAATTATACGCGCATTCAAAATTTCAACTAAATCGGAAAAAAATGTTTATAATAATATAGTATCTAATGTTGTATAGATAATGAATGGCACGGAACACTTCATGCGCGAGTCCGACTCGCACTTGACCAAATTTTTTAATGTGTTGTTGGTGCGGTTTAGTTTTTATTGGACCGTGTACCTGGTCCCTGTATTCGGGGACATTTAGGGGAATTTTTAGTTCATTCAAAAGAATCAATTGTTTTTGAGTAATTCTCCTTAGGTCAATTGTTTTCTTGAATAACAAATAGAGGATAGTCATTGGCAAATTTTTAACGGTTTGTTTGGGATATTATTAGTAGTGGGAACTATCGAATGAATACTATCGAACATTCGATAGTTGCAATTCATTCGAATAATTCGATAGCTAGTAAAAAAACATTCGTTGAAAACTATTCGAATAAAAATTATCGAATAGATGCGTCATCTGCCTTGAAATATTGTATTCTAGTAATTCGGCAGCAAAAACCATTCATTTATAAAATTCATTCATCTATGAAATTCATTTATTCGTCAGGATCGATTATAATAAAATATTAACTGGATTTTAATTGTCGCCCGGCGACGTAGGTTTCTTTCCGAGAAACCCGACAGCGGTCGGTGGCAATGCTAGAAAGAAGCCGGCATCTTTGATTTTTTGCGGAGTCATATAAAGATAAGGACACATTATTTTTTTTATTGAGGTGCTAGTATTTACACAGAAAATACATTATGAAGGGCGCTGTTGCCATATATTGGTATTAGTTGATATTAGCAAAGAATATTATTGTTTGGCTTTAGTTAGTTAGGGATAGTATGTCTATATATTTTGCATTTCTTTTATTAATATTCTGTTGTTAGGTTAGGTTAGATAATAAAATATTTTGGATGTAGGAAAATGATTTTTAATGTTTTTAAACAAAGACTGGTTTAATAAAAATAATAATAACAGTAATAATTTGTTATACCTATTAACAACAAAATTTAAAATAATTTAATATAAACATTTTTTTACGTAGTAGCAATATATAAACAACAAATTAGATGTCAAAATTATTTATATTAGATCATATTTAAAATAATATAGTCTTTAAATTTTTTGGCATCGTTGGTTTATTAAATAATAATAATTACAGAGCTAATTTGTTATATTAACAACAAACTTTAAAATCATGAAATATAAACATTTATTAATTTTCTAAGCATGCAGTGTAATGGAAGGAAAATATAAATGAAAAATTAGAAATCAAAATTATTTATATTAGGTACTTTATATTATTATTTAAAAATAATATTTACTTTTACTGGCATTTACTTTAAAAAATAAATGAAATATTTCTTCGCAAAAAACTACATGTAAGAGAATTAGCATAAACAAAATATGTACAAACATCGTTAACTTTTTTTTTTAAATTGGCACGTGTAAAACTTCAAGTTCATCTCATTTCTCTTAAAAATTGCTACTTCTCAAAATTTCCCATTAAAAAATAGACCATATATACCATATAAAATAAAATAATTGAAAGATCGGGCTACGGAAAATCACACAAATTTTCGGAAAAATTTTGACACCTGCACACGCACACAATCGTCAATTAAAAAAACTACTATTTTAGTATTTTAAATATTTTAATAACCTAATATTTTTTATTAATAAACGCAAAAATAGCACAGTATTTATAAGGTGAAGTTATAAAAATTTGAAGAACTAATAATGCACTGACGCACACAAAAATCAAACGAATACTAAATTTAATTTTTCATTTATCAAAAGCATTCGATAGTCGTGGCTCAACGATAACCATTTAGTCGCACGGCGAGGTTGTCACATATGCTTTAGTATACAAATGAATGAATGATTTTATTCGAATAAAACCATTCGATAGTTGAAATCATTCATTCAGTAACCATTCGATAGTCTAATTCATTCGATAGTTCCCATCGCTAGATATTATATTACGTATACAGGGTTAGATTTTTACAAATTGTAACTTTTAGGTTCGTTGAACGACTATTAGAGCTACAATTTAAAAATATTTCTACGAGATACAGAGTGTCCCAAATAAATAAAAAATGTTATGCCTACCTACTTTTTAACGATATATTAATAATCTTACTTGTGGGTTGGATATTTCTCCTTAATTTTATCTATTAGGATTTCTTCGATTTTTCTGTCGTATATAGTAACTAAGTCCCATACTTGAGAGTCTTTAAATTCCACTTCAATATCTTCAACTTTGGATAGTGCCTAGGAAGTTAAAGTTAGGTTAGGTTAGGTTGTGAATAAGCAATAATTGTAACATGCGTATTGTTTTATTTTATAGACTTTGACCTTTCAAAATGTCTTTATTATTTCAAATAGTTGAAGTTGATGGGCAATTTGAAAAATCAATCAAAGGATAAAAAACGCTGCTAAGACTATCAAAATGTTGATCTGATAACAATTTGACGTTTATACTATTACGTCAAAAGCAACTTTTTTCCAAAGCCTACCATGACTTCACTGAATCATCGTTTCTTGTTCACTGTTTTTTTTTAATAATTTATATTTATATAATTTTTTCATTTAATACCTGTATTATTAGATATTAATACATCTGGTATTATAGTATTCTAGTATATGGCCGATTTTAAAATAAACTAACTGTTTCTATCTTATTTTTTTATTAGAATGGGCATAATAAAGAGGTCTACTGATACCGTTTTGTGAAAATAAGGTAATTAAGGGCTTACTTTTTGGTATTTATTATAATTTTGCTATAATATCTTCGGTTTGAAAGAAGATATCAAGATGCGGTTTTCGCTGACTTTTTAAGCTTTTACTACTCTTTACTATTAGCTAAAATTACATATACTATCGTATTTAATTTTGTTGAAAAAACGCGCTATATTCGTTTAATTGTATGAAAGCGCCCTCTAGCCTCTACGTTCAAAACCTTATTATTATTATTAGTTTTATGGTATAATATAGAGTAAAAAACGCTCTTTTCAACGGGCCCTGGTTTATTGGATTCTGATCATCCAGTCCGGAGTTATTAACATTTAAATAAAGATAGATCTAACTTTCCCCCACCACTTTATTTTACCAGATAGGGGAAAATGGTTCTAACAAAAAAAAATCCAAAATTTACTGAAGATTATGAAGCTATTATTTATAGTACCCATTATGTAGGCAAAATTCTGTAAAAATTCTATTTTCTTATTTTCCATAGCATTTGCGCCCTCTAGCGGCCGTTTTACAAACTTGAAAATAATTTCCAGGAATTTCTCATAGCCCCTTTAGTTATAAATATTTTTTTCCGTAGGCCCTACGGCTAATACTTTCCTAGATACAGCCGAGAGCTATTCTTAGTGGAACACCCTGTACAACCAACTGGTGTTAAAAACGGAACATATTAAAGAATAAATTGCTTGAAAGCGAACACCGCAATACAAATAATTTGCAGAATTTTATTATAAAAACCTCATACCCAAGAAAAAAAATATATGATTTTGCCTTCTACGTGAAAAACTCTATGGAACTCAGTTTACACCTTTTCGAGAAGTGATTTCGAGAAGATAACCGCCGAGATACGAAGAGGATCAGAAATACGACATTTTTAAAATCGCCCAATAGCATCTTTAGTTTTTTTTTTAAATAGTGCAGTGATGTGAAAACCGCATGTTTGTATAGTCTGTCCAACGAGAAGATCCTTGACAGTGATAGATATGTCTGTCATTTTAATTTCAAAGTAGTTTATTTTATTTTACAAAGAAATAAGTTGGTACAACTGGAACGCATAGCAGAAAATATTTAAAATTTGATTGACAAGATGACAAGTGATTACTTCAAAATATTGTGAAAAAAACTGTATAAAACTGAAAAAATGTAATCGAGTTATTTTATTTAATAAAAACGGTGTGTGTTAATACAAAACAAACAAGAACAAGACACTACATACCAAAAAATATAAAAAGAAATATTACTTACTTTCAAGCTTTATGAAACTACCCGCATTTATGATTATATTTATCAATATAACTTATGTACAAATACAAATTTGTAATATTCCACAGGAATAAATAAAACAACATAGGTAAATAAAACAAACTATTTTATTAATAATAACACCTACCAAATTTTATACCTTAAAGGTTGATTAATTAATTTTAATCTTAATTTTTTTAAACCAGTACCTTTTGACATTGTTTTTCTGCAGTACTAAAATCCATTATTTACCTATCGTGTGATGTCCATATTTTGCAGCTACTCCAGTTTCTAGTATGTGTTTAGTTTGATCCTTCTACCATATACGAGATGCACTTATCTACGACGAAATGGTATACAAACTTTATCGATGGCAACTTCATTGGTGTAAAAGACTTTCTGCCTGGGCAGCGAGTATTAACCATAAACTGTGCTCTGGGTCTACAGTTGATTTTCACTCGATTTTTCCTCCACTTGACTTCAAAAGACACAAAACACACGTAATAATACGAATCAAAATGCATTATCTTCCAAAACGCAGGGTATTTAACAAAAGTTGACACAAAATTATAACCTATAATTTGGCAAGACTTTGACAAGCGTCAAAAATGACAAAATCTAAAGGCGAGTTCATACGCATCGGCGTCCGTTTGTCGTTCATCGTTCCGTCAAACCAATAAAATTGAAATACGATCTGTCATTTTTTAAATAAACCAATAAAACTGGTTAAAAACAACAAGACACGACGTATGACGGATTTATATTTAAACCCATCCATAGATAACTTAAAAATTATTAGAAACTTTTTTTAGTAAAATAAATAGATTGGTATGGGACGTCATCTGCTTTTTTTCTGTCATCGTCTGTCGAAATCTTACCTGAGAAAAAAAACAGAGTATATCTCTACTCATAAATGAGAAACCCTATACAGGGTTGTTCACCACATACGAGACGGAGTATTGTAGCTAAATGCTAAAATGATTTTTACAAATTGTAAGTTTTGGGTTCGTTGAAGGACTATTAGAGCTACAATTTAAAAATATTTTTACAAGATACAGAGTGTCCCAAATAAATAAAAAATATCAAAGTTGTATTTTTTTAAATGGAACACCCTGTATATTATTACATCTTTAGTTTCCACGATTAAAATAAAGGTAAATTTGATTAAGGTTTATTACACTTAAACCTTACCGTTTTTGAAATATTTTCAATTTTGTGAAATTGCAGTAAAAATTTTAAGGCTTCATTTCTCCAAGGGTATGAGAGTTTTTAATACTAAATATTTACTGAAGTCTATTTATTGATCAGTTATTGTGTTGAAATAATAAAAATAATACCACCTCATACAGAGTGTCTAAAAATTTATTTTAAATTATTTCTAGATTTAAACGGCAATAACTTGTTTAATTTAAATGGAACGCCCTGTATATTTTAGGAAAATCAGATGCATAATTTAATTGTCTATCAAATTGTATTATACCACTTTTTACCTATCCCTTCAAGTTTTCGTAGAAAATGCATTTTCTTATAATTTAGACCTCATTTATCAATATACCCATGGAATATTGACATTTTAAATTGTTTTTAAAGCAGCAAATGTACAAAATGTACAGGCTAGTAATATTATCGTTTTTAGCAAAATTATAATATTACTAGCCCATTTGTATGCAGAAAGAAAACTATTTAAATTTTTATAAAAGAGTATACCATTAATTAAATATACCACCATTATTTCCGCTCAAATACGAATTAATTACATACTTATGTTCGTTAATAAATTATTATTCTAAATAAATGTGGATTTGAATCAGAAATCAATATAGTAATAAGTTATGAAAATGACTATATCTGTTGTTATAAATAAGCATTGGTCAAAAAATGAAATATCATTTTTAAGGTGTTACTTTTTACCACACTGTCTAATAGAGATACAAAATTCAGTTTTTTAGTATTTGGAGCAATTATTATTAATCAACGCAAACAGTCAATTAATGTAGTTTGAATACTGGAATCATATTAATTGGTCCTCTTTAACAAATATTTAAACAGTTTTTTTTATTTATTTTTTTAATGAAATAACAAACTATATCGACAATATTAGTATCTGTATTCTTTAAAAATTTGGTACGTCTTTAAAAATAATCTAAAATGTCAGTATTCCATGGGTATATTGATAAATGAGTTTTAAATTACAAGAAAATGCATTTTCTACGGAAACTTGAAGAGCTAGGTAAAAAATGGTATAATACAATTTGATAGACAATTAAATTGTGCGTCTGAGTCTCATAAAATATATAGGGTGTTCCATTTAAATTAAACAAGTTATTGCCGTTTAAAGCTATTAATTATTTAAAATAAAATTTTAGACACTCTGTATAAGGTAGTATAATTTTTATTATTACAACACAATAACTGATCAATAAATAAACTACAGTAAATATTTAGTATTAAAAACTTTTATACCCTTGGAGAAATGAAGCCTTAAAATTTTGACTGCAATTTCACAAAATTGAAAATATTTCCAAAACGGTAAAATGAAAGTGCGGTAAACCTTAATCAAATTTACCTTTATTTTAATCGTAGAAACTAAAAATGTAATAATATACAGGGTGTTCCATTTAAAAAAATACAACTTTGATATTTTTTATTTATTTGGGACACTCTGTATCTTGTAAAAATATTTTCAAATTATAGCTCTAATAATCCTCCAACAAACCCAAAACTTACAATTTGTAAAAATCTAATCATTTAGCTACAATACTCCGTGTCGTATGTGGTGAACAACCCTGTATAGTATATTTATATTAGACCTAAAATAGCCGAATAGAAGAAAACATTTACAAAGTTTTGATATGTTGAGATTAAACGCACCAAAAGGAGACTTTTCAAAATCAAAATAGTTCTTAACTTTAAAGTTTGAGCTTCACCCCCAATACGCCCTTCGATGGTTTTTCGCTTTTTTCTCAGAATCCGTTGGTCCCACAGAAAATGTTATATTTACCGAAAAGATTCCTTATAAAATTTGCTACAAAAAAGATTCTATTCATTATTTATATTTATCCAATGCATTTCGAGCAATAACCGTTTGAAAAATAGAGTACAAAATATACAGGTCGCCATTCAAATTATAGTCTCCCAAGGTATTTTAACGTGCTAAATATACACGCAACAGATATACTACTGTATAATATAAACAAAAACATTGCCTATTCCACTAAACTAACATTCACACTTTCATCTACATATTATCATCGTCTATAGTTTCTAGAATGTGCTCATTC